CTAAAAATTATATAATAATAAGCTAATAAATAGAAGGAATTAAATTAATATTATTTTTTAATGAATTCACCCCAAGCAAGGCGATAATGGTACTAAGACTCAAGGGGCTACTGTGAGGAAAGAGAATTAAAAAAACTTTAGAGACAACTGGAGACCCAATATTAAACAGGAAACAAGGAATAAACTTGTTCAAAAGACCAACGAGAAATGTGAACTGGCGAACTGCTAGTACGCTGACGCATTCCTTAAAAACGTGAAAAGAACAGATCTCATGAACTCTATTAATAAACAGCAAATGCTGAAAAACAGCAAAGTATGAAACAGAGCCGTGAATGGGTAAATAAAATAAAAAATATTTTATATTTATTAAGAAACTCATTTTAATCCGTTTTTCCTTTATCACTCCCCCTTCTTCTCAGGACTGCAACATATTAGACAGAATTTCTGACTATAGAAATGTCTCTTTCTTTCTCTCTCTCCCTCTACATTCATCTGAGAACATTTTTATGTTTAGTGATTTTAATGCTCATTATCTCAAGTGGCTTAATCCTTCTGATGTTACTGATGCTGTCGGTATTCAGGCCTTCAATTTTGCTCTCAGTCAAATAGTGGATTTCCTTACTCGTTTCACTGATAATTCTTATGAAAAAAAACTTTCCTTGATTTGTTCCTTACCTCTTCTCTAAGATCTTGTCGAGCATCACAACCCGTCCTCTTGGCAATTCGGATCATGCTGTAATATTTGTAGATATTTCTTTTGAGACGTCTATGACAGAAACCTAATATTCTGTTTTATTTGACTACCAGCCGGGAGACTTCTAAGTGGTAGTGACAGAGTGTATTTATATCACTTCCAATCTCAGAATTAAACACTTGCCCCAATTAAATGCTAACTGAAAAATTTTCGGTATTTATTTATATGGTTTCTGTGGATTGATTTCAAGCCAACCATTGTTTCTGATACATGGGCTAATCGAGAGCGAATTCCCGAGCTGATACTGTCCTGGCTTTTGGTACTCGACATGCATTCTACACTAGTATGTTTTCTTCCTCTCTCTCTCTCTCTCTCTCTCTCTATATATATATATATATATATATATATATATATATATATATATATATATATATATATATATTATATATATGTGTGTGTGTGTGTGTGTGTGTGCGCGCGCACGCGTGCCATTTTAATGTATTTTGTTATGTAAGAATATCATTCGCCTGATGAATTCAATAAAACTTTTCGAGTTCGCCCTTTAGGAGAAGATACATAATGTAAAGCATTTTGCAAATACGCTTAAAAATGTAACGTGTATGATGAATGTGTAATGTAATTTATGGACGTACACTTGTAAAAACATGGAATTTTGCAAAATCGCTTTAAAACAAATTAAAATTGCAGAAAGGTTAATAAAGCGTAATGTTAGAAATGAATATTTAAGAAATAAAACAGATTAATATGGATGATAGATTAAGAAAGCAAGTGAAAAGATAACCAGGCAAATACTTGTGCTAGGCGGGACACAGATCATGAAGAAAGAATTGCGTAAAAGGTTTGATTGAATTTTATTTAATTGATAATAAATTCAAAGATGAGCAACAATGACAACATATTATGAAATGGATTAAGTCCGACAATTATTTAATTTATTTTCTGTTTATTTTATTGTTAACGTTACGATAAATATCGTGTGTAGAAATAATCCATCGAGAAAAATCGTCGGGGTGTATGTTTCTAAACAGTAATTCGGACTTTGCTAACCGGACGCTTATTTGTGGCTGAATGTCAGATCAAGTGATTGTTCTCATCAGGGTTACAGGTTCAATTCCTGCCGGAGAAGCACATTTTTAACGAATTGTTTCGAACATTCAGGCCGGTAAAATTAATTAATACTGTTTAATTAAAAGAAAAAAAATAGAGCATTTAAATTATATCTATAAAAATAACGTATAAACTGAACATACATACACACCAACGTCGATAGCACTACTCAGTGTTTCATGCAGAACTGAATTAAACTCCTAGTAGTATTATCAGCGTTGGATATTATGCATATTTACTAATATATAATTATAAGTCTGTTTTATAACATTGAGCACTCCATTTATAACACCTAAGGAATAAATATACTTACTTACGTGCAAGTATTTGTGCGTGTATGCACATTTTATTCTACCCATTCACACACACACACATATATATATATATATATATATATATATATATATATATATATATATATATATATATATATAAATTCGCGTTCAGTCAGTTTTCATTGATGCAAGTTTGGTTGAAATTGACAAACGAACGCTGTTTTTTAATCATTTTTTTTTTTACTTAAAGTATCTTGTTTCCATAAATTTTCCATCTGTTTGAATTCAACGAATGTGTCGTTTGTCCAAATGTTTTTGCTCTTGAAAAGCAATGTGTTTGTGCGAAATTCTGTTTCAAATTAGAGGAAAAAAAAACTTTAACAGGGATTTCTAAATTTGCTTCAAACCTACGCACGAGATATTTCTTGTCCGCACGCAATGTCAGCACTAATTAAAATTCATGTGAAATACTTGTAAATGTAATGTAAATGTTGTGTTGGTCGTCTTTTTTTATTTGAGGAAATTGTTTATCATGAGTTTGTTTCACAGGATTAAAACGTTTTACAGTAAAGAATTCCGTCAGTGTTTAAGAAATGCATATCAAAAGAAGAGATGAAAGGAAAAACAAGATCTGGATGCTGAATCATGACACCGTGCCTGCACACACGTCTCTCCTAATCTGTGAATTGTTTGTAAAATATGAAACTACTTTCATTCTCTCGTTATACTCCTCTCCATATTTAAGCATTTATTTTTTGTTTTACAAAGGTGAAACTCGTGTTCAAAGGTTCGTCGATCATGTATTACCAGACCTGAACACAATTCCTCAAAGCAAATTCCAGAATTAGAAAAACGACGAGGAGAGTGAAGAGGATGATTTAGAAGGAGACAAGTTTTTTAATGCAATAAATTTGCTTTTGAAAGTCTTTTTTGTTTTACATGACTTGTATACTAACGTATTTGTGTGCCAAATATACTAATATATACTAATTATACAAAAGAAAACAGAAACGATTATAATGAAAATTAGTCATACTGTTTTTTTTTTTTTTTCATTTGTTGAAAGAAAGAGAAGATGATCAAGAACACTTTTTTACATTTCGACCGAACAAAAACGGCAACGAAGGAAAACATGACTGTGAAATCTGCCGCAAATGCTAACTAGTCGCGTTATATAAGTGTTCTCTGGTCAAACATTAGCACCCAATCACATGTCATGGTTGGTCTCGTGATTTCACAAAATATATATAGCCACGTGATTAACAACGCGTCCTTAGTTGATTTAGTTTCGCGCCTTCCTTTAATCGTCGTCTTTTTACAGAATATTAAAGACGTCTCTTTTGATCGTACCAATCTCGACTCTTTTTGGTCAAGCAATATTTTAGAATATTTGCAATACTAACAATCCTCAGAAAAGATATAGTAAGTGTATTATAAATTGGGTTAGAAGTGTTTTGCGTAGGTGTAATCTAGGAGCAATAAAAAACTGATCCAACGACCAATGTTTCAATCTATCTATTGTTTATTAAATTGTTTTGTATTTATATACATACAAGTGCAGACTGAAAAGTTCATTGGTTGCCTATGAAAGAGTCACGCTAGAGATGTGAAATCTCGCATGCATTAAGTTTAAACTTTCCTTCTTAATAATTGCATTGTTTATTTCCAGGTAAAAAGAAGACTATTTATTCTGTTGGTCAAAAAAGTCATCAGCATCAGATATGACGTCATCATCACTGCGATATTGATTCCCATCCAAGGTTTTTTTTTTCGTGTTGGGGAACTGATAATAGGCAGAATGGGCCAAATCGCGAGAATAAGGAAGATAATCAACCAGTTCAAAGCCACAATCAAGAACAGCAGCCATTGAAACCAAGGCCTTGTGTACTAGAACATTGACATAATAAAATAAGACCACTTTCGTCTGTTTTCCTGGTGCTTTTGAAAATAGTCAGTAAGCACAATGTCTTTTGTATCCCCAAAATCTGCAGATGAAACGACGTTGGTCTTCTTTGGAACAGGCGGACAACAGTGTTTCCATTATATGTATTGTCACTGGTTCAAATTGAAGAACCCAACATTTATCCTGATTTAGGAAACGTCAAGGAAAGTAGTTTGGATCTGCCTCATACAATGTCATATTTTCCTGTGATGTGATCAGCTGGTGCGCTTTTGATCAGGTGCCAGAAGACATGGCACTCACAGAGCAGAAACTTTTGTCATACTAAATTCATAGTGCAGAATATTCTCAACTCTCTCACAGGATATACTAATAGTATTGGCTGTTTGATTTATAGTCAATCGCCCGTCATCCATCACTATGTGGGGACACACAGTCAATGTTTTCCTCGGTGCTGGCAGTTGCAAGACATCCAGATCTTGGATAAACTTCAAGACATTCTCTTTACCTCCAAGACTCAGCTGCCCACTTTTGCACTGTTGATAATGCTGGAGTGTCATACCTTAATGTAGCAACTATGTAAGCATGAATATCCCTGAGGATTAAACCCGTTTTTTCTGCAGGTACTGGATAACATCATGATTCCAAATTTTGTCCATTTTTAAGAAAATACCTAGTTACATTTGAAGTCGTCTTTGAACAGTCAAGTGTCAGTTTACTTGAATGGAAACAATGCAGTTATTAATAGAAAGTTTTTAAATTAATGCATGTAACATTTCAAAGCTCTAGCATCACACCTTCATATTCAGCCTATGAACTTTTCAGCCCACCTTCGTGATGACAGATGAAATCCGATAGAATATTTCGTAAAGATATAATCAATTTTTAATCAGGAAAGAATGTCAAAATAAAAAATCAACTTTTTTTTATAAATGTGATTTGTTAGTTTTTCTGTTAAACGAGGTCTAATGACATTTCTGGCTGAAGGAAGATCTTAGTTCATTCACGAAGGTGGGAAATCTATTATCGTATAAATAACAAACAGTCGGAAATTGAATAATAAGTATCCGCTGGAAGAAATAGTTTTAACACCCCAAACATCACTACCCCGCCTACTCGACTTGAGTAATTGTGGTGGGGGAATGTTGGGCTTGGAGGAATTTACAGCTAATAAGTGACGCTCATGAAAATATTTCAGTTCTACTCATTCATTCACCATTATTTGTGTGGGACTTCTTTCTCTTTCTCTTTCTTTCCACTTTTTCTATTTATCTCTCACTCATTTGTTTCTCGTCTCTCTTTAACCGAGGTGTGGCCCGTAAGTTCGAAGAAGCTGACCATGAAAAAAATTAACCAACCATCAAATTTCTATTATTATCTTTCAAGTAGTCTCTTGTCTGCTGTCTGCTCCAAACTGACATGCAGATGGGGTCTACTCACAAAATGTAAAATATTGCTTACACCCACTGATTTAAATTCCTCGAATGAATCCAGTTCTCTGATGAAAATTACCGAGAAATTGCCTCTATTGCAAAGAATAGTTGGTGTCGAAGGCAGAAATTCTAACACAAGAAGATTTAAGCAAGAAATATACAATCTTATAGTTTCTTCAGAGCTAAATTCTTTAATCAGAAATTTTTTGATAGACATAGTTATAGATTTAATCCATTTCCTCTCTAGCAGATGTCTGTCTAAAAACGCACGTGAATGGGCATAATTTGTTTAGACGTTTTGTTTTTTTTTGTTTTTTTTAAATCTTTCAAGATTGAATCAAGTTTATTCGAATGAAAGAGAAAAAAATGTGTTGAACCCTTAGCGTCGTGCAAGGAAAAATGTGTATGTGTGTATATGTATTTGTTTATTTGCAAGTAAGATGTATATATGCACACGATCACGCGCGTGTGCATGTGTGTGAAACCATGAAGCAAAGAGACGATATTCACATATATTCGTTGAACCTAGAAAGAAAGAAAGAAAGAAAAGAAAGAAAAAATATGAGAAAAAGAGAAAGTGGGCGGAGAAACTAAGAAAGAGATAGATAAAGAAAATATAGAAAGGGCTGATTGAGTTTGTAAGAGAACGAGAAAGTAAGAAAGGTGAGATTAAAAGTGTGTGGGAGAGAGCGAGCGGGCGAGCGAACGAAAGAGATAAAGAATGAGAGAAACAGAAAAGAGAGAAAATAATAAAATGAAGTGGTGGTGATAAGAAACACAATGATGGTCTTTCTTCAAATATTTTCTTTTCCTTGTCCATCCAACTGAAATATTTTTTGTCCCTCCCTTCAGAAGATTTCCCAGACTTATTGTCTCTTTTCCCATAAAATATTAATGACAACGACAACAATTTATGAACAGTATGCAAAGTCATCATTTGGGGTCACTCATGCCTACTTTGATGGCGTACCAGTTTTAGCGTATTACACTGAACAATTTAAAAGCTTCTCCCTCTCCCTTCCCCCTCTAGCTCTCTCCCTCCCTCTCACTGCAGTCTGTGATGATTGAAGTAACTTGAAACTTGTTTCAGGTGACATTCTTTGGAGTTAGTGGCAACATAAGATCTATTTTTAATTTTGATGTTCTTGTCATTCTGTTCTTTCTAATTTGAGAAATGTGTGCCGCACGATCATCCATACTTTATCAACAGGACAGGTTATATTTACACCAAGTTAATCGATACTTTGCTGAATCTCAGTCAAGTCTTACATCTAAAATATTGAATAAGAATTTATAATGTTCTGTTAGATTGAGTCTAACCTGCAGCTGTAGCATTACAAAATTGTGAAATTGAAATGAGTCTATTCAGAAATGTGCATATCATTAGTACTAAATATATTAAAACCTATACAATTTAATCTAAGAAAAATTAAATAACGGCTTGCATAAAAAGAAGCACTTCAGGAAAGTTAAACAAAGCTAAGGCTAATGTCGGACAGATAATGATTTATCTAGTTTGTCGTTCATTTTTTTCCAAAACAGCTTCCTTTCATTTTTTTTGTTATTTGCATTGAACTGGGCATATTCGTTCAAACAATATGTTGTCTGTGTGGGATGCTCATAAACATTCCTATTTTTACTCTAAATTTACAAGAACTCGGTAATATTTTCATTACAACCTAAGAAACCTCAAGACTTATTTTTTTCCCTCTTTACAAACGCACAAATTACTGCTACGACAACAGGAGACAACCAGGTTTTGTAACGCTACTCTCAAATCAAAACCAATTTCCGTTGATCTAAACTGAAAGATCGTTCATTTTACTTCTATCATTGTGTTTTAATAAATGAAACATTTTCAAATTCATAAATGATTTTCTGATGCCATAAGAGGATTTATTTTCGTAACATTTTTGTAAATGCAATTGACTTTAATCGAAATCGTTCTCCTTCTCAGTATTTTGTAACGATGTTGTTCATATGCATTGACAAAATATTTATTTCTATTTTTTATAGCCGAAAATGACTGTATATAACACAATGTATATTGAATTGGCTTTGTGAGCTGAAAATACTTTAGACATTTTGATGTTGCACTTCTTAGATGGTGATTAAGCAGCCTCACAAACTTGAACTTACAATTGTTAAACTTGAAAACTAACTGATACCAGAAAAGCCAAAAAGAAACCTTTTTATGTGCTTTTATGTCCATCGTCTTTTTCATAAACTGGATTATAATTTGACAGTCATCCAGAAGACGATATTCTCAACACTAGTCCGTGTTTGTAAAACTGACGAAGAAATTTGATCTTTTTATTAGTTTTACTCCATCTTATGCTGCTTTCCATCATAATCCACTTTGTCGATCTGAAATCCGAAATAGTATTTCCAAAGGTTTCAAAGAAGATAAACTGTCAAGAATAAATCAATATTATTATTGTTGATCTTAAGATCAACAATAATAATATTGATTTATTCTTGACGGTTTATTAACCTTTTGCAGGTTATTTAAAGGCAGACAATATATTTGATTGTAAGATTTTTTTAATAATAATGATTTACTGATACACGTTAAACTAATTAAATCATAACTGGGGAGAGAAGAGACAGATTCATACTTTTCCCAAGAGTATTTACGCCTAAGTGAATATAATGAACTCGACTGAACTGAAATTTGGTTTTTCGATTTCCAATTCCGAGATATTATCTATTACACCTCCCGTATAACCAAGTTTACAGCACCTAATATTTTCAAGCGGTCACACATCTAGATACTGACCAGGCTCGACGTTACTTAACTTTCGTGATCGTAGGTAAAATATGTGATAAAATGCAATAATAATAAAATAGAGTAAAACCTACTAGTATTAGAAGTAGTAATTGCAATAATAATAATAATAATAATAATAAAGAAAATATTTAATCTGAAAAAATAAAAGTAAAATTTAAAGAAATGTTATCTTAATACTCTTCATAATTAGTTTTAATTTGAATATTTAATAAAACTGTAGAAAATATTTTATTCCTGTCAGTCTTATCGCTGAAATCGTGAAACATTCTTTCAGAAGGCAAATTTTATTTTTATTTTTTCAATATTTTTTTGTAATTTTACAAATATTTTAAGAAATATTTTTGCGTCATGTTTACCTTGGTTGTTGTTTCATTCATGAGATTTTGGCGAATTTAGGATAAATTCTTCCTTTTTAAATGAAATCTGATATCAACGACGATTGAATTGGAAGCGTCCAGTCCGCAATGAGAATGAAACATGTTGATTTTATTGCGACGATTGTTAAAAAAAAAAAACAATAAGTGAGTTCCAATTTATAGCGACAAAAGTGAAATGAAAGACAAGCAAGTAAAACAATAATAATGACGAGCTTCATTTCCGAAATTCAAACAATTTAATATAATTACGTTTATTATTACTATGAAGTGTAAACAAGCAACAAAATAAGACACACACACACATATATATATATATATATATATATATATATATATATATATATATATATATATATGTAAGCTGATCTTATAAAAGATTTCAGTTATCTGTTTGGATTGGTATTGCTTTTATGTCCATCGTCTTTTTCATGTTGAATTGTATATGGTCTATGTTAATTATGTTTTATGAATATGTCCTGAAGATGGTCTATTAGACCGAAACGTCCGACGTTGACATTAAACATTAAAACAGCGTAATCGCATATTAGGATTTTGTTTGTTTTTTCAGTATATTTTTATTCATATATATATATATATATATATATATATATATATATATATAATAGTGAAAGAGTTTGGTGAAAGCAGGTATGACGTCACGGAGACTGACTTGTGTACGTTTGGCTCAATTTGATTCTTTTCAAATGGGTAGGGGTAGGAGTGTCTTCGAGAAGTTGAATGGTCATTTAGGAGAATTGCTGTGTATATTGGATACGATGTTTGATGGGGCTTCCGTGTTGGTAACATTGATCAAATGAACAGACGTATACCAAGATCGGCGGCGTCCATAGCACAGTTCAGTCCGTTGGCAATCGTTTACACACATAAAGACTAAACTACCTCTAGCCAGGCTTCCACAGCATCGTACACATAGTGTTGCGACAGAGTCAACCGACAGAGCTCTAATGGTGCATCAGTGATGAGAACAGGTTCTGCCTAATGAGAGTGATGTCAGTGTTGCAGATTCAGATGCCAGTGATGAGAGAAGGTTTATGCCTACATAGAATTGATGACCGTTTATGTGTGCAATGTAGTCCATAGGAAGGACATCTTCCAGTGGGTATTTGCCCACGACTGACAGGCCCAATCACTGGTATCATGGTATCAACTTTGAACGTAAACAAGCGCTATGCATATCCAGAACGTCATTGTTCAACGCATTATGTTGTTATGTCTTAAGCACGAAGTCAGTGTGATTTTCCAGCAGAACAATGAACAGTCTATTTAAAATACTTTGTAAGATGTTCAATAACTTTCCTGGCACATACGATTGCTAAACATGTCTCCCATTAAAAGGACATGATGGGAAGACGCCTGACACGTTCAGTTAGACTACTTACATCTCTTACCTCATGGCATCAAGAAATACAAGAATAATGTATTGCAGGATGCTATTCGCCATCTGTACGGCAATACGTATGCAAGTATACTAGACTGTGTTAGCATCCAATGAGAAAATACGGTGTCTTAATATGGAGTCTGAGTACTGATTAATGCGCGAAAGAGTTTCAAAATGATTGGTGCATAATGCTCATTTTGAAAACTGTTCGCGTATTAATCTGTTTGCGAGATCCAACGATAATGAAAGAAATATTATATATATAATATATATATATATATATATATATATATATATATATATATATATATATATATATATATATATGATATTAAGGAGATGAGGAGGTTGTAAGAGTAAAAAATAATATTATCATCTTATGGCAAAAGGAAACGCTCATCGATTTTTCTCGATGCATTAATTTTTCAATAATATAAGTTCAACAAAGAAAAGGGTTCACAGATCTTAAAATTTTTATTGTAACCCCCCAAAAAAAAAAGAGACAAGCATATTGTTCCATGTCATTTGCAGTAACAACAAGAAATAAACATTTTATTCACATTTGGTAGTCTGTTAAAAAGGCCTTAACATATTTTTCACATTTAAAAGTTCGTAACTTTACTTTTGTCTTCTTATCTTCTTCACATTTAATTATTTTATAAAATTATTTCTTCTTAGTTCTCTTCTTTTTTCTTCTTAATTTTTACAACGTTGCTTCTTCTTAATTCAATTTTTTCTTCTTTTGTTCTTATTAATTTTATAATTTTGCTTCTTGCTTCTTTCTCATACTGCAAAGGAACAGATAATTAAACAAATTACAACCTAGGCTTGTAATATTTAATTTAAATTAATCTGAAATTACTGAGTTACTATCATTTAAAAAGATTAACAAGAGTATAAAACTATTTATATCAAATGACTTTAATATTATGTACTGTTAGCTTTCTGGGCCAACAAATCAATTTTACAACAAATTTTCCCATCTTAGGAACAACTTTATTTCTTCCAATAGTGATATCCTTTAGACTAATTTGGAAATGAATCACTTTACTTATAAGCCGAAAATGAAACAATTTGTTATTCTTTACAAATGTTTCATTTCTGTCAACAAACCTTATAAGTTAAAACAAATAACTTTTCTCAAGTTATATTACACTTAGTTTCGGAATTTTTCCAAAACTTTTAAAACATACTTTTAACAAAAGTCACCCGATACAAACAACCCTACTCCCTTCCATCCTCAAATAAAAATA